CTGGACCCATGTCTGGGCTTGCCAGGGGAAAAGCTGATGCTGGTGGGCACCGGGGAGGATGGACCCAAGGATCCAGGATCCAGGCAGGTGGGGTTTCAGGGCCAGCATCTGCAGGACACAGAGATGAGCTGCGGGAATAAGAGCGCGTCCACCCTGACTCATTAACACTCCCAAAGCTTGCACTTCACAGGGCACAGCTCTGACACACTTCTGTTGTGCTGTGGTAGATGCACTGTTTCAAGGCTGTCCAGTTATTTGAACTAGGATAAAACTCTGCTGATAGTCTGATATCCCTGGAGATTAGGGCATGTTTTTTTCCTGTTGCTACATACAGGCATATCTTTCTTTCACTCTTGCTCAGCTGGGTGATGTCTCATGGCATAACTGCAGCCTATTCAGAAATACCATCCCACTGATTTTCCCAGTGGAAGGTTTGTTTGTGAAATCCTGGTTTGGGAAACAGTCAAATGGCTGGACGTTTCCTAATTATACTGTAATATTGGACACCTAATACGGATTTCTCAGATGGCTGTTTTGCTCGTCGTTCAGCTTTAATTGGTGATAATGTATGTTTCAAGGTTCTTTCACTCAACTAGAAAAAGAGGCTAAAAAGCAATCTCCTTTTTCAGGCAGCAGATAACCTAAGCATGGTCATCAAGAAGTCTATACATTATTCACAAAGCACATTCAGAGTGTAGTTTTCAAATACAGTTAGGTTTTCTTTTTGAGCAACTCGCTACTCGCCTCAAACAACAGCAAAGAAGTAGCAAAAGTTGCTATTTCATAACATATCTATGACAAGTTTGATGGAGTTTGGCCACAGATCATTCAGCTGATGGCTGAATTACTGGGAAAAAGCCCCTTATTTTTTTACTAAAAAAAAAAAAAGTTCTTATTCCTCCAGAGGTGGTCTTGGACTTGTGACCCAAAGGTACTTAAAAATTTCTGCTAGTGTGTGTGTGCATGGGAAACTGTCATTTCTAAGCCTGTCTCATGATAGCTGAATGTGGGGTGGTTATTTTTGTTGGTAATACTATCTGTCTCACAGGGGAGAGGAGAAGCCAGCTCTATTTATAGTTCAGATTCACTGTCAAATGCTATCTTTCACAGCAGTTTTATAAATGCTGTGTGACAGATTCTAAACTGGCACAAGCGAGCAGAAAAAGAGAAGTTTGTGCCAATTCACGTTAGTCGAGAGTGCCGGCAAAATCATCACGAGGGTCAGGCAGCACTTCAGGAACAGGGAGCAGCCCTTCAGAGAGCCACCATGGAACACATCTGCCAGTGCAAGTGGTGCTGTGGGTGGCATTAAATCCTGCACTGCACCTCCAGGGACGGCAAAGAGCCCCTGCGCAGCGCCCCAGCTGCACAGCCCTGTGCACTGCGAGTAATCGGCTGGCAGAGGTGGGGAAAGTACTGGATGTGGAGAATACACTTTGCAGCAGGCAGGCTCAGGAAATGGGCTTCTTACACCACAACATTTTATAAACTCACCCTAAAATTAACTCATATTGTCACCTCCTTGTGCTCAGTGGGAAAGTGTGTGTTAGGTGTGCAAAATTAAAGTAATACCATGTCAGGAGCCCCTTATTTTCTGTTCTAAACCTAATAGCTAGATAATAGTGCAAATCCCCTAAAGCACGTCAGTTTCATGGGGACCTGAGGGCAGTTTTACATATAGATAAATGTGGATGGGGGTTCAGAGACCCTGTGTGACCATCTCAGGCTTTTTTCTTCTCTAAACTACCATGGATAAGATGTGGAGCTCCAGCACAAAGGAGAGTTAGTTAAGGTAAGTAGAAAACTGTGTGGGAGAGTAAGAGAAAATAACTTCTTGAAAATAGACTTGTGAAATGAGTCTTAGCCAAATGCCTGGAAGATTTGAGGACTACTTTCCTGCTAGTCATGTCTTGAATCAAATGAGCTAGAACCAGTGGGAAATACTGTGCAAGCCATATCCCAGTCTAGCCAGCATCCTTGTGGTTCATCTGGTTAGTCACTCAGCTGTAGGAGACATCTGTTAAGCAAACTCTCCTATCTAACAATGCCTTTATTGTTGCTGGTTTTTTGGGGTTTTTTTATGTGTTGTTTCTCTTTTAACCTCTCTTACTGAGCTGTTGGGAGTGGTTTTCTTCTACCTCTGTGCAGAACCAAGATCATAGTCTTTGCAGTGCCTGAGTCAGACCCATTTGCTGCGAGCTTTTGGCAGTTTCATGGTGCGACAGGACTAGCAGCTTCTTCTAGAGCTGTTTTCCTTTGGCATAGAGAGCATTGATACCACAAGCCCCTTGGACTGCACCTCCTAAACAAATCTAGAAGCTGAAGAAGCCCCTTTGGAGAGCTGTGATGGTTCTGGATTCAAGCCACTGTCGTTGCTGTTTATAGCCCCTTACAGATCCTCAGGGTGGGAGATGCCACTGTCCCTAAGAGCTGAACTCACACTGAATGTGATTTACCAGGAGAGGAGAAATGTCCCTCTGGTGTAGATAACCAGTGAGGTAGATACTCACAAAGGAAAATGAGGTTAGTTACATTTTTGCCTTTCCAAACCCTTATGGATCCAGTGTTCTTCTGCTTTCTTTTCCTACAGAGAAGGTACCAGAAATGCTGCCTCTGTGGGCAGCAGTGTTATCTCTTCTGATCTGTGGGACAGAATCAGCCGACTGGATTCTTGAGGCTGAGCATACATCGGCAGAGTTTTGCCTTGTCTTCTCTTGCCACAAATAAGAGCCATTTCCTCAAGGATTAGGCTTAGTTGATTCACAGAGGTGTAGCATTTGCAAGTGATTAAAACTGGATTTTGATGGAAGAGCATAGTTTACTGCTGCAGTTTTTGAAGTCTTTTCTGCCTCTTCAGTCTACGTTGGAACTGACAAATATGTATGCAAAATCTCTTTAGAACTGTCAGGAATCAGTGCCTGAGCTCACTCCAAATGTGCCTGTTATTTTCAACAGGGAAGTTTTTCCCATGTCATACAGCACTATAAAAAGGGATGATCAGTTTTGCCTTAATTCATTTGATCAATGTATTATTTGCCTTTATCCATCCTTCACCATCCATCCGTTTATTCATGTACCTTCGTAAATTGAATTAACTTTCTTTTTCTGTGCCCAAAAAGGCATTAAAATGTGCAAGTAATTTAATCTATACCTGAAAACACTGGAAAAGCAGTTTCAGGTTGATTTCAAAATATTAGAAATTCTTCAATCAAGAATCTCTTCTTCCAATAATTCTTGCATTTAGGCCCTAAGGACTTTTCACATACTGTCCTTCCAAAACTCAACAAATTGAATGCTTACTTGGGCACAGTAGCAGACCAGAATTTTAAAGTGTTCTAGCAAGTGGAAATCACTCTTTATTTAAAGTCTTTAGTTCTTCATTGTACTGCCCAGCATCTTCAAGCCCACTGGATTTTATTATCCATGTTAGCTCACTAATTTATTTTCAGGATCTTTCTCAAAACACATAAGAATGATTAATTCTTTTATATCAAAGAGCATTTTTAACTATTTTCATTTCCCTCATAGCTTGAGTGTTGCTGTGTGTGTTTATGAGGGAAAAGTTTTTCCATATTACTTTGTTTCAGGATCACTTCTCGGGGTTCAGAGCTCAATTTCTCAAGGGCCAGATGAAAGCAGGAGGGTCTTGTGTTGCTGAGATGTGCTGAGCCTTGCACTGCTGGCCACCCTCATCTCTTGGCAATTGCCACTCAGCCCCTGGCACCTCATATCTGGTAAAAATGGGATTCAAGGAAATTATTAACTGGCATATACAGTGGCCTGGTTTGCACAACATTTGACATTAAAACTGGCCCTTACTCCATCTGTGTGCTTTGGAGTGGAACCAGGAACTAAATTTAGCAGGTCCTGGCTCCAGGGTGAGCATGGCTGTCAGTCCTGCCTGCAGTGCTTGCTGTGACCTGCTTTCCTATTGGTTTACAAAGAGGGGGGGCTTTCCTGATGGCTTTCAGATTTTTGGAATGACATTGGTCAGGTTTGTTCTGCTCTTCTCATGATTATTTAGACATAAATATAAACGCTGCTTCACTAATTATGCTTTTTGGGTGGTGAATAAATGCTGCTCAGCTAGGCAAGCAGCTACTTAGTGTTTAGTAAAATGAGCTGAAAATAAAAATGATGTCGAAATTCTTATCTGCTTTTCAGTATTTAAGCCTCCAAAGTAACTGGATACCAGCTTTTGAGTTTTTCTTCTAGCTAGAAGTTTCTGTCTAGAAATGTGATGCTTTTTTAGAATAAACAGAGTCAGAAGTCTGACTCCAGCCACCAATATCAGATGACCTGCATTAAGAGTGGGGACTTCAGTGTTGCTGACTTCCAGTGTTTTTCCAGATAGCAGCAGCAGGGTAGCAAAATGGGCTTACACCAGCTCTGTGTCACCAAAGGCTCCTTTCTGATCCAGTCCAACTCACTCTACAACACCTTTGAAGATGACTAAGTCACCTTCCCAGCTGCACTCAGATCATTTCCCAAACGTTACAGGCTGTCAAGCTAAATTATATTTCTATATTCTTGTCTGCGATGGTAATTTTGTTCATTATTTTCCCCTCTTTGGCAAAAAGAGCTAATTTGATCCTTGAATTTTAAAGATGCACAGGTCTTGAATTGGTAAATTTTGAGATAGTTTCAGTGTGGTACTGAAAGAACTGATTTTTCTCACAGAACAGACATAATGAGGTACTACTGACTCTGACATTTCAGGAAACAATTTGTAAAAGAGAACCTTGCTCTAGTTATCAGTGAAGAAATGACAGCTGAAAAAGCAACATGATGAGAGTTGCCTGCTGCACCCTTTCCAAGTGAGAAAGGGTGTTGCCTAGAGGGTCAAGTCAGAGTAGTGCTGCGCCCATGATGAAGAAGAATCGTGCAGAAAATAAGAGACTTCTTTCAAGGCAACTCTCTGCATTTTTATACTGTATTATTACAGTATAAAAAAGCACACAATTTTATTATTATCAGATGACACGTTTCTGTTTCTCCAGCAATGCCATCGGTCCCCTCGTCGCGCTCTGGCTTATCTACGAGCAAGGTGCCGTAATGCAGGAAGCATCGACTCCCATCTGGCTGCTGTTCTATGGAGGTGTTGGGATCTGTGTGGGTCTCTGGGTCTGGGGAAGAAGAGTTATCCAGACTATGGGTAAAGACCTCACTCCAATCACACCGTCAAGGTAGGTCCACAGTTGTCATTGTGGTTGTGTGAACTTTGTGTGTGAGACAATCTGAGAAAATGCTGCTCCGGTATTTTGTTTGTAATGCGGTTTGCTGGATTTGCTGTGCTTTGATTTTAATGATAACCTGGCTTTGACTTCTCTGTCTTTCTAAAAAAATGAAAGAAATAAGTGAAAAAGGAGAAAAAGAAAGCATGAGGTAAAAAAAGAGAAAGAAAGAGAGAAAGGGAAAAAGATAACCCTGTAATACTGAATATGTTTAAGGCATAGAGGTCTACATGAACAGACAGCAGAGTCTTCTGCTGATGACCTAATTAGCTTGCTAGGAGGTGCATTTGGAAATGGCAAGATTACAGTGGCTTTCCCAGTGCGCTTCAGACTATTAAACCCATATGTATTTATTACAGTAATTTTCTTCTTTAATGCATACTCGACCTCTGCTGGTGCTTAACCGAATTACTAATTAGGCACGATTCACTGCAGCGTAGAGTAGTGAAGGTCTCTGACGCAATGAGCCGTGCAGACGGGCTACTGCAGATGACTAGCCTGTGCCGTTCCCATTATTCAGCCCTTTCTTGTTCTCTTAACTTACTCACATGACAAAAATCAGTTGGAGATAAAACAGTGGAAAGAAGAAACGGGTAAGACTTTGGCACGCTGCATGGTATCAGTCCGAGCTGATGCAAAGAGTGATTGTGAAGTGTTTTCTTATGCTTCCCGCAGTGGATTCACTATTGAGTTGGCTTCGGCGTTCACAGTTGTGGTAGCTTCCAATGTTGGACTTCCTGTCAGTACTACACACTGCAAGGTATGCCTTTGCCCAGCGACTGCAGTCAAGGCAGTCTGGACTATTCATCTTAAAATTGTGCTGCTCGAGCCAGGGATAATGGCACGGTGAGGGGAAAGCAGCCGCTGACAGAGGATGGTTAGGTAGGGGTGCATCAGCACATCTCGGTCATGCCAGCAACGTGGGAATGTAATCAGGCTTCCAAAAAATGTGTTGGAGTTGTCACAGTGAAGTCACTGGAATTGGCCACAGCATAAACTCCGTAGCTGCTGGTGAAGAGAAATAGCGCTTACAAAAGCATGACTTCAATTTAATTGCAAATGGTTGCGAGGAAGAGCCTGGTTTCCTCTGACAGTGCCATTTGAATCTGGTCGGGTAACATTTCTCCCTTGTTCAGAGGCTGCGCACCATTCATCATTTATACTTGACTTTCTTGATAAGTGCATGGCATGGGATTTCCTGCATATAACTCTTTTACTACAGGTTTTCCATTTGTCTTTTTTTTTTTTTTTTTTTATTTCTTCACAGTGGATTTTGCATTGAAGTAATGTGTGCGCTAACGGTACTTGTAGCCTCAAATGTGGGTATTCCAATAAGCTCCACCCATTGCAAGGTATTGGAGTTTGCAGTGATACTATCAGTAAATCACATCACTAGGACAAACCATAACAAAATCTGGGAGATACCGACTGTTGCAGATTGCCTTCACTGTGCCATGCCCTGCAGACCGTGACCGCAAAATAACGGGGCCCACTTTGACAGGCAGTACAGCCAAGCAAAGTCAGCATTATAACTAATTGCACAAAAGTCTGGACTGTCTTTCACCCCTACATGGTTGTACTGAACTAATATAGACATCTTAAAACAACGTAGATCCGTAGTCTGTGTGAACCCAGTTATGTGTATTTTAAAACCTCCTGTATGAAAAACACTGCTACATCATTAAGCTAATATTTTAATGTCTCTCTTCTTTTAAACCAACTTGTCCTCACTTTTGTGCATTTTAATACAGAATCTGGCCCTTGTAATTAGTCCTTTGAACAAGGTACTTTGCGCTTTTTTTTTTTTAATTTTTTTTTATTATTTTTTTTTCCAAAAGACTACTTGGTAGTATATGGTATATGTACAGGCTAAGCAATGAGCACAATTTAATTGTGTCACAAAGACATTTATATAGCTTGTAAACCTGAGAGAACATGTGGACATTCACACTAGAACTGGAAGAACATAATGGGAATTTGGAGTTTTGTTCCCTGGGAAATTCTCAGGTCAAATATCCCGTCTTTTCTCCTTTCCTTTTTCTGAAGCTCCTGGTTGTGCAGAGCTGTTTGTTTCTTTCACCCGCTGGCAGGATGTGGGGAAGCCCCTCCAAAATCAGAGACCTCAGAATGGCAGTCCCTCTGCATCACTGCATGCCACCAAGACCAAGCCCTAAAAAAAGACAGTCCTTGTAGGATTCACTACTGCCCCTGGAGAGCTAGGAGCCCCTGGCTGGGGCTGGGGCAGGCGGGGTTCCGGGCATAACTGCTCCATGGCATGGCAGGCGGGCTGGCAGGAAGCCTGGCAGCCTTGCCTGTGACATTGACCTGCTTTCCAGTAAAAGAGTCAATGAAATCCACACATCCTGCAAAATGCCCAAAGTTGGTTCAATTGGCCTTTTTCTAGTGAAAACCATTTCTTCAGAAAGCCTTCCTCTATTGCAAAATCATTTATTTCTTCTACCCTGGTGCTCTTTGAGAAGCAGCCAAGACTGAGCTGCTCTGAAAGGCTGTTCAGATTTCCTGGCATTGACAGAACTCTGGTTCCTCTGAATCAAGCAGGGAGGGGAAAAATAATAACAATGTTATCCACTTCTAAAAATGCTAGCCTAAAACCACCTCCCTTTAAGCTGACTGCTATATCAAATGCACAATGAAGAATTTGCCAGGGAGAATAATACAGCTTTGATTATCCCAGTTGCATGCCTGAAACACTTCTAGCCAACTGCTGTAAAAGAGAAAACATACTTTGGTCCAAACAAATAGACTGAATTTAAAAAGAAAGTATCTTGGAAGCCATAAGCTAATGAGAGGGGTATTCATTCACTCAATGCAGCTAAAAGCTTGGTCTTTTCTAACTGCAGAGCAAAATAGTTCTTTTTAAAAAATACTTCCATAAAAGCAGCTAATGTGGTTAGTCTGTGTCTGCTCCCTGTAGCTTGCTGTATCTCATTAGATGGATCATTCTTAATGGGAAGATCCACTTTGCAATAGGATTAGACTGTTCCAGGGATGTCATGTTATTGTAACTGTGTTTCAGAAAAATGAGATCCTGAGTTGAAAGATCCTAAGTGAGCAACACAAGATAAAGCAAACACTTGTAACGGATGTATTCCTGTATTCCTTGTTTTATTTGAGGGCCCAGGGCAAGAATAAAAAAATTGTTAAATATCATTTGCTCCATGTGAAAATGCCTTGCTGAAAGTGCTGTCAGCCGCTGAGTCAAAAATGCCTTCTTAAAAATCAACAGAAAAATTATTTTGCCTTAGAAATCCAAAAGAAAACAGGTTTGAGGTGAGCCTAATCTTGAGCCTCCAGCTCCCAGGGACTGGGAATTACTCTTTTTCTCAATATTTACTCCACTGCAAAATAGCATTTGCTTGAGTGGGTGTCAGTCAGCTGAATGCACAGCAGCTGGAAAAACTGATGGCAAATAATGAGCAGCATGAAACAGCTGAGGTGGAACAGTAGACTGTAATGAAAAATGGAGACCAACTACGAAGGAAAGCTCTGAGCAGCAGTTTTCAGATCTTGTAGCAAACGTGGCGGCAAACTGGAGGTTGGTAGCAGGAATAAAAGCATTTGGCTTCTGGGGAAGGTTTGTCAAGGCCTCTCAGGTCAGGACGTGCCTTTGGTCCTAAATCAGAGCCTTTGGTCTACATGGGGTAGTCACTGCCCAATGTGCCTGTCCCCTGTCTATGGCCAAACAGCTTTTTCACTCTCAGCGCCTGCTGAGAGCCTGAACTGCACCTGTGTCTTTGCCTCAGATCCAAGGGGAGAGGAGAGACCCTTGAAAACCTCCAAGTCAAGAGGGCTTGGAGGGAAGGCCTAATCTTTTGAGCCTCCAAAGGAATCTGTGGGTCTGAATGTGGCAGTAGCCGCATTGCTCTGACTGCACCAGTTCTACCTCCCCTGGGATTTAGCACTGAAAAGCCAGGGTGGTGTGAATGCATCACTTCCCTTTCTGCTGCCCAGGTGGGAAAATGATCATATTGAGTCTTAGAGTGCCTGTTATTTGTTCTCAGATTGGAGATTTAGAAATAAGCATTTCTCAGCTGTAACAGAGTGTGTTCACGTACAGATAAAATTAAGAGTGCAGCAGTTAAATTGTTTTCCTTTGCAGAAGTGACTTTGCTGAGGTCATTCTGTCAGCTCCATTTTGGCAATACGATTTTGCGGTTTTGAAAAATATTCTCCGTTGCTTTCATTGAATTATCGTGTTCTGTGTGTTCTTATTATACACCATTGCACAGGAACAAGAGAGCCAAAAGCATTTCTGTAATGCTTTGAGCAGAGCATACTGAAGGCAAACTGCACTGGTTTCAAACCAATCTCAAAGTAGATATCATCTGAAATTCTACAGAAGGTGTAGTGTGCCTACACCCAAGGATTAGCTACTCTCCTAACCTCTAGTCCATCAAAAATCACTATTAATAAACTAAACTTTAATAATGTTTAAAACAGATTGCCAATGCCATCATTGCTGATACCATTTAAATTTCAGGAAGGACTCGGAGATTAGCGTACACAGACTGCAGGCTTGCTCAATAAGTAACACTGTGTGACAGACGGATGCTAAGGACACACAAAATGTAAAGCTGAGCCTAACAGCTGAGCTGCTGAAAACCCAAATGCTATTTCCTCGGGTTAATGCTTCGATGTAGTCACAAGTGTGACTTCTTCACCTGGATACACCTCCACCTCCTAAATACACTTACTCCTCCTAATTACATTGTGTACTCCTGGAGTATTCAGATGAAATATTATCTAACAGATTTCCTTATTGGGTCATGCTTTTGACAGAGGCCTAATTGGTCACAGAATATCTCATGTTTAGTTTTCCCTTGTTCTGCCACAGGTGCCCTAGAGTTACAGGGTCTTCCACAAGTAACTTTTATCCAAAAATAAATGTTAAGCAGTAGTTAGAAGCTAAACAGGTGTTAGCAAAATATGCAGATTTAATATCCCTATGCTATCTTTCCCTGATTCCCTGTACTCCTGGCATGTATCATTTTCCTGGCTCTGTACTAGGGGAACAGCCCATCTTTTGATCTATAGGCAGGGACTGATACTCCCATTAAGAAAACAAGCAGGGAGGCAGGGATGGCACTTCAGGGAGCACATGCCCAGCTGTGTCTTGGAGTTTCCTTACCTTCAAAACAGGATATATCTTCCACATTTCTTGCTGCTTTACCATGCACTTTGAATAGACTTACACTGTTTTTGCTAACAGCATGGAAAGCACTTCCAGGGCAGAAAGAAAATGTAATCTTTCTGAAGTTTTTGTATCATTTTTCATTGAAAATATTTTTCTCAGTCCAGTTTTTTTTCTTAAAAATTGATATGCTGGGTTTATACCTGAGTTTATGAACTGAAAATACCTTTGAAGGAAGAAAAGGTTGCAGCTTTGCACATAACACAGTGTGTTTTATCTACAAAACCACTGACCTACCCAGCTGCTCTGGTAGCAGCGTCTTTGAAGGATATCTTGGATTTTATCCATTCCCCACCATCCTCTTGGTGTCTGAACGGTTTGTGTGCCCCATAGTATTAGTCTGGTGTCTTTGTCTGCAAGACAGGATTTTAGCTCTGGATGCTTTGCTTGGCTAGCTGGTCCAGAAGGGCTGGTGTCCCTCACAGGGCTCAGATTGATGGGTTTGTTGTACTGGCTCTAAGCCTGCACTGTCTGTCTGCCCCCTGCCAAGCCACCATCACTGCCACAGGGTGGGCTCAGCTGCTTTTACCTTGACACTGCCATCCTGTTTGTAGCCTGCAGTTTTGGCACATGGATGTGGTGTTTTGGGTCAGTGCTGTGTGCTGGGCTGGGAGCTGCACAGAGAGGCTCAGCAGCTGCTGGGTGAACGGGCAGGGCACCCCAAACCAGCAAGAGGAAAGGCAGGTGGGACAGGAACCACAGTAGCTATCCTGGCCTGCCCCATGCAATGCTCTCCACCAAAGCCTTGAAAACAACTTTCCTGGTGTTTTCCTAATTTGAACTGTGACCAGGCCAGAGTCAGTGGACACTTTCTCTCTCCCCTGGAGACTGAGTCAGGTGGAGGGCTGCCTCAGTTGCATTGAAGGCTCATGTAGGAGTTAGCAGGGCAGAGAAAAAACTCACCAACATACTTTATTGCCTTTGGCTGACCCCAAGACCCATGAAAAATTGGCGAACATTGAAAAACAAAGGTTTAAGTACCCTGGAAGTGTCACCCTCCTGCCACCACACCAGAACAGTGCCATTGTCATCCTCAGGGCCTTCTTTATCTCAGAGCAACGCTTGGTATCAGCTGACTGGCATTGGTGTGGCCGTGGGCATGTTACATGTGCTCAGACCTACCCCTCACACCTCGTCTCCCTCTCTCTTCCCCACGCTCCCAAGGTTGGCTCCGTGGTGGCCGTCGGCTGGATCCGCTCCAAGAAAGCCGTCGACTGGCGCCTCTTCCGCAACATCTTCCTGGCGTGGTTTGTGACTGTGCCGGTGGCCGGCTTGTTCAGCGCCGGCGTGATGGCACTGCTGATGTACGGGATCCTGCCTTACATCTGAGGAGCTTCCTCTGCCGGGAAAAGGGGAAATGGCCAAGCTACTACCGACGGGAGAAGCGTTCCCGTGAAAGAAGCAGTCAGAGAGGATCCATCTTCCATACCTAACTTCTTATCTACTGTACATAACAATGTGTCATATTGGTGACATGGTGATGTGGTGCCATTTCTTATATATTAAAGAAATATATATGCATATAGTAGGTAACAATACCTAAGTTATATCATCAGTGGGGTGAAAATAATTGCCTAGAACTTAATATTTAGTAAAATTTGTACATAGTGTATCATTTTGGTGGCTATTTTTTAATCTTTTGAAGAAGAGTATGGATTAGGAAATGTTTCTTGTCCATTTGATATAAGAAGAAGCGAGGTACAGGACTGCATAATACATGAATTTTTTAAAGCTATTAAGATACTGGAACAAAATAAAATGTGCAGAAGTGCTTTTCATAAAATAACTTTGTTCATATCATATTGATTTTCGTGTATCATAGCGTGATGGTTATGGCTGTGTAAATACTTATGAACAATAACCTTTAAATGGTGCATTTCCCTTATATATTTTGGATAAGAAAGTTTAGGAAGTACCAAAGAAGCAGGGGAATAGCTTGCCGATATTATGTTGTTGTCTCCACGTGTGTTGTGTTTCCCCACCTCTGATTCAGCGTTGTTTTCACCAAGCTCCAGCCAGTGAGGCTGGGATAGTACTGTTCATGTCTTAATGTAACTTTAAAACAAAAAGCGCACACAAAAAATTAGTTCTCGTGACTTAGTCGGCAGCCCATGGCTCTCCACATTAGCTGATAGCAAACTGACTTCATTTTGTGGGTTGATACTTGAGTATCTCACTGCTCACCTTCTCCCTTTCCCCTTCAAGTCTCAGCTCCCGGCTGCTCTCGATTCCTGCGGGAGGACAGACCGTCGGCCTCCCCTCCCTCTCTCCCTCCAGACACGAGCGCACACTCTCAGGGGCAGCAGCCCTGGGGCACCCCCGCGTACAGGAGCGAAGGGCAGCGGCAGGCAGGAGAGGGCTCAGCCCCGGGTTTGTGCTTGGAGGTATTGGGCGCCCACGGGAGTGCTGATCCACGCAGAGGGGGATGTGAGCAGGTGCTGCCTCCCCGCTGGCAAGTCCCATCCCAGCCACAGCCAGCCAGCCTCCTGCTGTGCTGCCTACAGCAAGGAGGGGACAGAGCCCGGCCCTGTGTGGATGGAGGTTGAATGGTAACCAGCGTTTGGGATGAGATTTTGTTCATGGCAGCTCAGGGGAAAAATGGCCAGCCACATCCCCTGCATGCCTCTGGAAAGCACATTTGAGTGGAGGTTACTGATTCGTGGGTGGGAGGCAAAGGGCAAGGGGTGCCCAGAGGAGGTTGGGAATCTGTCACTGTTTAAATGCTGCTAAAATTTTGATAAAATGTTCTTGGTACTCCATTGTGATTTTTCCATTGGTCATTCATACCAAATTTATAATAAAAAGATAAACAGCCCCTATAACTGTCTCTTGCGTTTTTGGAGTGTTACTCAGCTGTAATGGGAAGGCTCCCCAGGCAGTTAAAGCCTACTCCTTGGCATCTGCCGCCTTTTGTCCTTTGTCTGCTGTGGTCAGTGGGATCAGACCATGCTCTGTGTGGCGCTGACAAAACCTCCCTTTTCTTCCTGCTGTCCTGGCAGCCCCAGTGCCCAGCCCTCGCTCTGCCCGGCCTTGGCTCACAGGCGTCTCTCTGTCGAGGTCTGGGAGCTCGTGGGCTGCTTCACACACATTCCCTGGGCACTCGCTGCCCCTCACTCTGGCTCTCCTTTCTGGGGCTCTGGAAGCATCCCTATTGCCATGGTACCGCGGTGCCCGGTTTCCAACCCCTCTGAAACCCTAGAGCTGTGGTAAAAATAGAGCTGGCAAATGGGTGAGACTGGTGGGCAGCAGCTGAGTGACCAGAGCGGCCTGTAAAGGCACAGAGACAATTTGGCACCTGTGGAAAAGGGTGGAAGAGCTCACTTTATCGTGGCACTTGCACAAACAAATGCCTGCCCAGTGGCCCAGCAGCTTCCCACCTTGTTTTATCTACAGAGACAAACCCGACCTCTCTCACTCCAGCGGCAGGGACGCAGCTGCAGCCCTGCCAGACACAGTGTGCCGAGTGCTGTGCCAGCTCTGGGGGTATGTGATAATCCCCCAGCACACACAGCTGGGTGTCTGAACACACACATATATAAATAAAACTGCTGTGAGGGAAATGGCTGGCAAAGAAGCATCTCCAAAGTATTCCTGCCCCAGCTACAATAACCTTCAATGTGGAGGGAGATGGAAAATCCAAAGCACAGAAATTTCTTCACAGCACAGAGGTGTCCTTTGCCAGCCCAGAGAAGCAGAAACTGCAGGGGAAGCACAGCTGGTGAAACATGGTGCAAATACGGGCACAGTTAAAACTCCCTTTGCTCAGGCAGCAATCAAAATTGGTCTGCTTTCAGCTCAAGAAATGGTGAAGGGTTTGCATTTTTTTCAGCAGCATCGGAGCTCAGTGGGGCCAGAGAGCTGAGCTTGTTTAGCCAAGGCCTATTTACCAGCCAGATGCTGATAGACCTCGACAGAGACGTGGGATCTTTGAGCCCTGCAGGGCTGTCCCATCCCCTGATGGAGCTCTTCCCACCGTGGTTCAGGGCTGCAGCCCTTCCAGGCAGGACACAGGACAGCAAGGTTGTCACCAGGCAGAACTTGCTGCGTGCTGGGGTTCTCCAGTGTGTGTGCACAGGCTGCTGGGGCTGCAGGAAAAGTGAACACAAGAAGCAGATCAGGAGGTAAGAGAGACAGAAGCCTAATGGAAATACTTGTTACAAGTATAAACTCTTTCAGCCCAGGAGATGCAGCCTTGAATTTCAGAAACCAGTGTCTACTGTGCTTCACAGACCAGTGGTAAATCTTTGACTGAAACCAGCCTGAGGGGAGCCAGCTGGCAGTGTGAAGGTGATAATAGACTAATTACCCTCACCAACCTCTCCTCCAGCCCCCAGCTTTCACCCCACAACCAGATTTCATGGTTTGCCCATGAAAGTTGCTTTGCCTTTATATGTCTGATGGTTGCTGGGATGATGCTGGGACACGTTATTGCCACTTGTGCTGCTTGGCAGAGTGCCTGCCCTGTGCTGCTGAAGTTGCTGTGGCATGGTGACCTGTGCATCCTGGTCTGTCCTCAGCAGAGCAGCCCTGTTCTGCCAGCTCCCTGCTGCTGGTCTCCCACCTCCAAGGTGAGTGCCCTGTGTGCTCCTGACTGCTCTGACTGGCTGAACTCCCCTTGGAGCAGGAGCTCCGCTCATGCCACAGGCACTGAGATTTGCTCTGGAGGCGGTCACAAAACGCTTCTTGTGGGGACATGTGTGGTGAGACAGGCCAGGAAATGCAGTGGGGAAATGCATGGGGTAGGACAAGGCAGAGGCACAGGGCCCTTAGCTCATTTGTGGTAGACAGACCTGGGTTGCTTTGTGAGAGATCCTATTCCAGATTTGGGGACCCTGGACTGCAAGATGATGCTGATGGACAGATCCATATTTTCGGAGGACAGAAGACTGCTTGAATTAGTGTCTTGTGCTGTTACTTCTCTAGAGAGGGTAGACGATGGGAAAAGTGGTTTGTTTTGATTTTGTTTTTTGGTTTTTTTTAAGGTTAAGGACCTTTGGTTTTGTGTCCCAAGCTCCTTCCGTGGAGCTTGCTTTAGTGATACTGGTGATCTGGTTTGGTGGAGCATTGACTCCACCTACTGGTTACCTGAACTGAAGCTTTGTGAGCCTCCTTTTTCTAAGCAGTAAAGCAGAACAGAAAGGAGTAATATGTAACAAAAATGTGAACTGTGCTCTTTCCAGGTGATATTGTACAAAAAAATAAATTTTGAACGCTCCGCTTAATTTCCAATATCTTAGGCTCTAGGAGGAAAAGGTATTACTGCTGCACTGAATTAAAATATATTTCATAGTGATTAATAGTGATTGAGACTTTTCTTCTACCTGTCTTGCAGAAGTAACCAGTATGTCACTAGAGTTTTTAAAACTAGGCTGGTGAACTTCTCCAGTGATGCTATTTTAGCACTGTATTGATGAGCAAACACTTTTTCCAGGGTAGCATTGGTCTGAAAGATTTTATAAGCATATTACACCACTTTTCAACTAATTTCAGTTTTCAAAAGGGCATTATTTTTCCTAAGTGAAATAGTATTAACTTGTACAAATATGCTGTGCTGTTACCAGCTTTTAGGTGCAGAGGATTTTTTATGTGAGAAGGTGAATGTGAATAACAAAAGCTTGTTTCCTTCCTTGATTGCAACCAGCTTCAAAACAAAGTTGGGGCCCAGAAACCAAGCACAAATAATGTCTGAGTTTCATGGCTCCTTGCATCTGTCCCAGCTGACACTACACATCCAACTTCAGGAAGATGACTTCTCATCTGATAAACCCTAAATTCAAGGATGTGACATGCTACTGCAGTGCAAGTATTTACTGTAGATCATTATTAATTGCTGTGCTTCAGGAAGAGAAAAAGGAGTGGCAGGTGTCCAGCTGGTGGCCAGTTCTCTTCATTGCCCAGTTGCAGTCAGCCCCTGGATGGATCTTCCCACACGATGGCACCGTGCATTCCAGTTCCTTTGCTGTGAGCTGCTCACACAGCTTACACAATTCAAGCTGCTGCTAAAGAACTTGTTTCTGGTCTCTCAGTGTAAGGACAGCTGGGGTTCTCTGCCTCTGAAAGCTGGCTTCATTCACTAACTAGGGATATCCACCCTAGGGATATCCTGGCACAAAGGGAGGAGATGCTTGTACTGCAGGAGAAGTTGCCAGTGTCAAGGAAAGGTGAGGAGAGTGTAGTACACTGCTCTTATGTGAAACAGGAAGATGGTTCTAAGTGGAAAAACACTAAAGCATTTTTGGATGATACTAAAACTGCTTTCCTACTGTGAGAGGATTTATCATCTTTTTTGCTGGAGGGGAAAAAATATAGGAAAGTTAATTTAAAAATGTTACCTTGCTATCTTAATGCACTTTGTAATGGATGATCTTCTCTTGATCTTGCAAAACAATGTTGAGTCCTCTTAATTCCTATGGAAAACAGGCACACCTGCAACTGCCCTGGTTTCTGGTCTGAGTAATTTTCTGTATGCCAGATTTTTCCACTCATTCTTGCTTCTCATGGAATCCTGGTGATCTCTGTAATGGAAATTGCATGTGACATGTCTTTCACACTCACAAGCTTATCAAGGTAAAGCTGACAATTTCTCTCTTCTCGGTCTCTGACTTTGCATGACAACCTGCAGTAAGTCTTGGCTGCTTTCTGACAGATGACTGCTTCTGTTTCCCATGAGAACAGAGATGCTTTGTTACACTGATAAAGTGCCTGTCAGTGCTGGGGTCAAGTGCTGCTCAAAATACACCAAAACCAGTGTGGAACTGGCACAAGAAATTATGACAGGGAGAGAGGGAACTTGAGACTAG